CTGTCTACATGATGTTACGTGGACAAGATATAAAGTCAATGCCCCGTCTACATAGTGTTTAGTGGAAGAGATAGGAATCTTCAATGTCCTGTGTTCCTGATATTTCGTAATCAATAGAGAAACCCTCGATGTCCTGTTTACTTTATAATTAGTAGACAATAGAGAAATCGTCAATGTCCTATAAACCGGATTATAAATAGACAAGAAAGAAATTACTGACGTCCAGTTTACATGATTATAAGTAGACATGTTTGAAATCCTTAAGGTCCTGTTTCCTGAAGATGTGTAGATAATAGAGAAATCCTAAATGTCCTGTTTACCTGATGATGAGGAGATAATAGAGAAATCCTAAATGCCATGTTTACCTGATGATGAGTAGATAATAGAGAAATCCTAAATGCCATGTTTACCTGATGATGAGTAGATAATAGAGAAATCCTAAATGTCCTGTTAACATTATATTTAATAGATACTAGATAAATCCTCATTACACTGTTTACCTGATACATGTATTTCGTAGACAAAAGAACAATTATCTAAGGCCTGTTTACCTTATAATTAGTTGAAATGATAAGAATCCTCAATGTCCTCTCTACTTTAAATTTATAAGACAAGATAGAATTATTCAATGTCTTGTCCACCTGAAATTAAGTAGACAATATTGAAATTTAGTAGAGAGGGTAGAAATCAGCAATGTCCTGTTTACCTGATAATGAGTAGAAAATAAGGTATTCCTCAATTTTCTGTTCACATGATTATTAGTAGAAAAAATAGAAATTCGCAATGTCATTTATAGCTGTCATTTAGTAGACCATATAGAAATCTAGTAGACAGGGTAGAAATTATGAATGTCCTGTTTACCTGATGATTAGTATATAAGATAAGTAAGCCGTTTATCAGGCAGGATGATGTCTATCAATACTGTGCCTTTTTATACATCTTTTACGACAATATCGAACACCATGGAACTTGTTTTATTTGTACATATGGGTGAAACAACATGGATCAGTACTCAAAATAAATGATATATGATGTAAGTATATCCAGTTGACTGATAAATGTGGTATATCTAATATCGCTTTTTTATATAAACTTTCAAAATGTTAAAAATAATAACTTCGAAATGACTTACTGGTTTTAGCTTAAAAAATGGTATTTACCTGGAAAAATAACCCACCTCACACTCTCATATTTGATTTAATAGTGTTTGCGCAAGTCCCAAATGTCATGTTCAATAAGATAAGCTCCGCCCCTCCCCCCTATTTTAACAGGGTCTTTTAGACGGCAAAATGTCATACCATAGAGATTGCTACTGTTTATTTACAATATCACATATACAGAAAACAATATAAGGTGTGGCAGATTCAACGTCCGTAAAACGAGTTCAGTGTGATTTTTTGTTGTCAATTTGACGAATTCCCAAGGAGTGCACAAGTTCGGCCATAAAACAGTCGCGCTATCAATCAAACTGACCGAAACACTAGACACTAATATGTCTAAAGTAGTCAGCATTAAGGTTAAAGCAATAAACCCAGACGTTACCGTGGTTATTCCTTTTTCGGACGCAACAAAGTACACAACGGGTCAACTTTAGTTCATCGCATGAGGTCGGTACACAAAGTACACGGACCTAACGTACCCGGTAGTAGTTTAGAATAGCACAACTATCATACTGTGGTAGGTGTGTGTTTCATAATAACTAGTAATACATAATAGTACAGTCGGTTGGCACAATGGTCATCTACAGAATAGTTCAGAGTTTGAAACTAGTACAGCACAATGTACCTATGTAAAATTGCGATATATATAACAGTAAGCAGTACATGATAGTATCGTTTCAGTTCAATACATTCAGAGTAACTACACCATAGCACGATGCAAGTAAACAATACTGTCGCTATACAATATGTCTATAATAGTACAATGGTTATGCACGATTAAACAAGACGTCATGTGAGGAAAAGATGTGAGGACATTTGCTAAACGAATATAATTCATTCATAACATACATCAGTCATGTAACTTATGACAATGCGTTTGTCTTCCTCAATTATGTTTCTTTAAAATCATAATAGAAAGCTTGACAGAACAAGGTTATAATATTCTTTATTGAAGACAGTTAATATCACCAGTAGCAACTGGTCAGTAGAACAAAATGAATATCACATTCAGGTGAGTTTGTTAGGAAGCCGTATTTGTGACCCAGACATGTGATGTAGTTGCTTGTGCAAAACGATGACACACAATGTCATGTCGGATCACGAATGCCATAAACAGCGCTCGAGTGAGTTTTTTTATGTTTTGTTTTGTTAAGGCTTATTTCCTTTATACATTTAACTTAAACCACGCCGTTAGCGCAGTTGTATGCTTATACATAAATAACTCTTTGCAGGAAATCAAAATTCTGCTCGTATTTGTAAATTATTGCATTAAATACAGGGTCCATATTCGTCGTTATTACTGTCATCTTTCCGTCACATTCATTGATGTATCTATCGTGTGTATTTTGATTTAATTCATATTGATTATGCATTAATACTTACAGAAAGAGATTAACACAACTAAATATATACCATTTTGTATACAACTACGCTGTATTAAGGTTGCATTTCTGTTTTAGTACAATTATGAAATATCTATAAAGGTAAATATACTAGCATGACTGACACATACAAGAGCATCACAAACATATTCGATGGTAAAAATAAGTGTGGAACGACTAAATATGCCAGCCTGTTTATGATAAGACAAGTGTGCACCAACTCAATATACCCACTTTAATATAATTGTAAAAGTGACTACTAGTTGATATATAAACAGTGATCATACACGTGTATATCTACTGTATCTGCTGGATTGTCTATGGTAACAGAAGCGTGTAACACAAACTTAACAAGTCTATACTATATCACAGTGACATAAGAAACAACATGTATTGGCCAGACAATCCCATCCAGGTCTGTACTTCATTAACATAATCGAAGACAACTTATTTTTGCATCATAATATCCACATGCTCTACGTGATACAATAATGTAAAATATTTATTATAAGTGATGTCATTGCAAAATTGCAACGAGATGGGTTAGGGTTAGGGTTAGGGTTAGGGTTAGGGTTAAATAACGAGATGCAATAATTTATTTCTTCATGCATACACATTCACTGTAAGAGTTTATAAACATAGAGTGCATACCTACATACATAATACTAGTGCACAGTTCCGGTGTACCGTAATGTCTTATTACTCGAAAATAGTTATCAAAACAATCTACAATTACATAGACTGGAGGTGTTTCAACTCGATGATCAAGAAATTGTACAACAAGATAGTGTATTTAGAAATGTTGTACCCGACATGTTATCTCGATATTGACGCCGAGATGTACAGATCGATAGTGACTTTTATCATTTTCAACTAATTTCAGTTTCCCATTTGCCAACTAAAAACAAACCAAAAGTATCCACAAGGGAGCTTGACGCCTTCCATAGTACAACAGCGATTGGGTCTATATAAGTGTTAGGTTTCCTCCTATCTGTTCAATTGATAGTCTTGTCACCAATTTTGAAAAAAAGACATCAGAAAACAAGATTTGTCAGTGTCCTTTCAAATTAGATCGTCGTATGAGATATGTACTGAAATAAATAAATGAGCAAATTGAAGCCAACAAAGAGGCTAAACTAACAAACACGAAAATCTTCCTTATTCAGGAAATATTTGCTAGATCTTTTCCTTTTGGCACTTTTTTTGTCCGGATCAGTATCAAAATCAAACAAGCATAACTCGGGCCAAAGTAGATTCCAGAATGGACTTCTGGAGAAAAAGATAAACTGATATTATCAAAATCTAATACAGCTACCAGGCGGCCATCTAGTTTTCTTGATTAGTCTCAAATTGGAACATTTGTATAACCAAAAGAAAACCTACAAAAGATTTATTCTTAAATATAGTGATACCAGCTTCAACTGGCAACCAGTTGGACACTTTGCTTTTCTGAAATCTCTCAAAATGAGATACACTCTACAACAGTTATTTGGAAAAGAAATTGTGCAATTTGAGAAAGATCACTCCTAGAATTTCTTCGAAATAGAGCTTATAAACTTTAACACTCAAAATTCAAGATGGTCGCCTGTCAAGTATCGGTCCAAAATTCAATTTGTAAATGACAGACCAAGGAAACCTACATAGAATATTGGAGAAAGGTTCCTCCAGTTCTTTCTTAAACAATATCACCAGCATTTGTATCTCTCTAAACTCACGTTGACCGCATTTTGGCCATTTCGATTTTTTGGTCTGTCTCAAAGTTCAATATGCACAACCCAGGACAATGAAACCTGAATTAGAAATTCAAGAAAGATCCTTTTTGTACTTCTAAAAAAAAGCCCTCACAGTGCCCATGTTCATGGAAACTGAAATGTAATGTGAAATAGCAATTTAAACAGTATTATACTAAAAAATATAGTTTAATATTTAAAATACGATTTTGAAAGGTTCTTTAAGATTCTTGAGCTAATCACTTGTAAAATGTAATATTACTTGTAACAATGAGTTCAACTATAACAGCAGAAACGAGTGCTTATAAGATGAAATATATCTATTGAGCCAAAAATCAATAAACTCATATCCTATTACAGCGACGATTAGGAGTTAAACCAATCCTGAGACAGCAGTTACTAATTAATCAATTGATTAAGCGTAACTAACATAAATGTTTAGTGGATGCTCTTGTGATACGGGTCAGTTGTTGTAGAGACATATATTTATCGTTACAAAAGGAAGGTAAGTAAACGCTTAAGTATAGGCATGGGTACAAAATAGCATGGTATTGTTAAAGTGGCCTCATTCCAGATATCATGAACATTCGTGGTGTGACTACGGATCGTATAAGTACTGTTAAAGTGGCCTCATTCCAGATATCATGAACATTCGTGTAGTGATTATGTTATCGTATAAGTACTGTTAAAGTGGCCTCATTCCAGATATCATGAACATTCGTGGAGTGATTATGTTATCGTATAAGTACTGTTATAGTGGCCTCATTCCAGATATCATAAACATTGGTGGTGTGACTACGGATCGTATAAGTACTGTTAAAGTGGCCTCATTCCAGATATCATGAACATTCGTGGTGTGACTACGGATCGTATAAGTACTGTTAAAGTGGCACCATTCTAGATATCATGAACATTCGTGGTGTGACTACGGATCGTATAAGTACTGTTAAAGTTGCCTCATTCCAGATATCATGAACATTCGTAAAGTTATTATGTTATCGTATAAGTACTGTTAAAGTTGCCTCATTCCAGATATCATGAACATTCGTAGTGTGACTACGGATCGTATAAGTACTATTAAAGTGGCTTCATTCCAGATATCATGAACATTCGTGGAGTGACTATGTTATTGTATAAGTACTGTTAAAGTGGCTTTATTCCAGATATCATGAACAATCGTGGTTAGACTATGTAATCGTATAATTGGTGTGCTTCACAAACACGAACAAATCATATTATTCTTTAAGACTTCTGTAAACCGTAAAATAACGCTTGCCGCAACGCATGTGTATACTTGGTAATACAGATGCATTATCAACTGAAAGTAAGTACAACAAGAGGCCAAAGGGATCACCTGATATATATTATAGTTACTGGTAGCTTAATTTTATACTTGAGATTTGATGTGGAAATAGGTCAGGTCAGGATATTACTTTCTGAAACGATTTGTTACCAATGTTGAATTATTGCTTGCTGAAAATGGAATAGATATAGTCAAAAGTGTTACTCCCTTCTATATAAACCAAGAATAACTGATGACCAAATAGTAATAACACTAATAATATATTTAATGCACCTAAGAGCAATGCCATCCTAAAAGGAAGTTGGAATCTTGTAAACCTGAGTGCAGATAATATAAGACATTTTCTTCTAGCAGACATTAGAAAAATATAACTGTGTTATTCAACTTAATATAGTACTGTAAAACTTAACCCTCTGCCCAATGGAAAGCAGATGACTTGGAAAGGGGGATGGAATTTATAATTTAGATAATGCACCTAAGGACCTTTCTATGTAAGAATAGTTTGATGAAGAAGACTTTGTTTTTTTAAACTTTTGCCATTTTACTCATTTGGTCCCTACTCCTCCATCCCCTGGGGATGCGGCAATATATTTTTTATCGTACCATATTATTGCCATCTGGCATCATAATAATTTCCCTATATATACTAAAGTTAATCCTACCCCCTCCCTAAGCGAGAATGGATGGCCAAGAGGTAATGAAATTGAAAAAAAGAAGATAAAGTCCCTGATTGACTTTTCATCCATTAACAGAATTTGTTTGGAGTACATCTGGGTTTCCAGAAGAAAACTTATCCTATAAATATTGGTTATTTGTGTCCTTTTGAGCCCCGTTCTAGCCCCTGGGTACGGGACAGGAAACCAAATTTTACAATTTGATACCTTCTTCCAACAAAAATTGTCCCTAACGAATTGGTGGAGACCCATTCATGTATTCGTGAGAAGAAGCCAAACATGTCAAACGTTTACACACGACGACGGACAGAAAGCGATCAGAATAGGTCACTTGGGCAAAGATCAGGTGACCTAAAAATGGAACGTGGACTAAGAGGTTACATATTCTTGATGTTCGTTACATGTGACGAAAGTTGCGTGGTCGGGATTATTACCTATTATTGTATATTGATTGACGAATTTGGATGAATAAAGCACAGTAATTAAGAAATTATACTATATGTATTATTTATTTTGATTGTTTTCGGAATATTTTAAACTATATTGTTATTATCATTTCATATAGTTTTCCTGCACTTAAGACCTATACATGACAGATATACATATATACATGCATATCTCATACAGATGTACATATAAATCAATGCGCTTGTTTCGTACCATCTAGACACCAACTTATTGAATATTGGAAATATAGCTGGTTTCGTGTTATTCTTAATTAAAAGATATGTCCCACTACACGGGTTTGTTTGCATTTGGACAAATACTCGACGGAGTTCTAAACACACAAGAATTAATCACCGGGTCCCATACAAGACCAACGTTGCAGGACTGGACAACCTCACTCCCCGACTCACACTGAATGTACTTTGAACAGACGTACGGATGGGGAAAATATCCACGGATAATTCCGTCGCAAGGAACAAGATCAGGACACATTAGTTCAAGGTTTCGCGGGAATATACATGCCATGGTTTCAGGGTCGTACACGAGGTCTGTTGCACATTTTTGTACCACGCCCTTATTAGGTCCGATACACTGGATAAACTTAAGGCAGTTGTCAGGGTGGGGGAAAAGTTGACCAGGTTTTCCTGTCGCACACGGTGTTCGGGAGTAAGCTACAAAAATAAAAGCAGTTTGACTATTTATTGTACAGTAACAGGTATTACTAGTTATACTATAAGAGGTGCATAAAGTGCACTTTGAAACCAGACATTTCATCATTTATCTAACAGTCACATGTATGAGTAATTAAATTATCATTTGTTTGGTTGGGTTTGGTTTATGGCATTGTATTGACCAAGTGAAAACGCATACCCTTTCTCGCATAGGTTTGCTACTTGTATTAATCATATTAATGACAAAGCATATGAAAGATTATATATACTTAAAATGTTAATTTAAAAACATTACATTTGTACGTCTTAGAATACTCGAGTACTGTATTGGCAAACTGTACCGAAAGGAGAAGATCAGGATTTGGATTAAATCCAACTTATCACAGCACGTATCATAACGTGTTTAATACGTGGGATTAGAGATATTTTTTAATTAACTGGCCTTATTTCACTAAGCAAAAAAAGAACACCAAACATTTGCATTTAAACATTACATCTTTTAAAGATATTAAACAACGAACGTCAATCTCATGTCTCCGACTTAACTCAGCCTAATAATCTGTATACTTTTGAAATTGCAAAACTTTGAAATAATGGACTATTGGATGTTTTCTCAAACCATATTTCATATTTGACTGATCCTTCCTGTCTGTTTCCCATCATGATATATCGTGGATCTCCCAAAAAGTTGTGCTTATGACCACTTGATATGGATGCCCAACCCCTATGTCATACTTGATTTAAATATTATGGTGATAGACAACTGAACATACCATTAACATGCCAATTAAGCAATTCTGCCAGTTATTTAATCTCTGGTATGTTAAAATCCTAGGGTTAGGGTTAGGGTTATTCATAGACAACTCTTCCGTAACTCTTCTTTGCACTTAGTGACATTATTCCGCTTTATATTCAAACTTTTCTTTACGGTTTACAAACCAAGACAGAATAACGTGTGTATGCAGAAAATTGAAAATTAGAGAACAAAAACATAACGTTAATACATTTTTTATTTATATATGATGTGTATGTACAGTTTAAGGAGAGGACTTGTATAGGCTATGCATGTTGCGCAATTCCTATTGTGCTTCATATATATAAAACAAAATATTCTGAATGGAAAGTTCTGTTTTTAACTAAAGCTAAACCCGATAAAACGTCAACCATCACACAGGGCAAAATAAGAAGATTCGGAAGGATATGTACGTTAAACGCGACACTAAGAAAGGTTTCTATGCCAAACCTACCGGGTCGTGATGGGTAAATCGATGACGTCACCGAACTGTTATTCCTGCTGTTTTCACTATGCAACGTTGGATGAAGTGTCTGTGTGGTGGGAGTTGTGGAGCTCGTGTCCTGGATCCGAACGGAAGCTGGACTTGTAGGTGGCGCTGGTGGTGCAGCAGCTCCATCCGGACACACCAGGTTTGCTCTGTCCTCTACACACACATCGGAGGTGATGTCGAACAGTAAATCTCCAGTACAGGTTTGAAGTCGAGACTTGCCGTGCTCACACTGGAAGTATTTGTTACACGCTTTTGGATGGGGATAGAATGAACCACTTTTAAAAGCACAAGGTGTCCACGCTAAATCTGCAACGTGAAAAAAAAGACAAAAATAATATTTCGGTAGCAACACCGGAAAGACAAATGCTTGGAACATACGCAAGCATTGTTAAAGTAATACAGTTTCATGTTTAACATATCAGCAAATTACAATACTAACACAGTACATACTACTTACTGAATTAAAAGCCGTACATATTAAGTTTAAGAAGTTAGGGTAGGTTAGGGGTTATTTTTGTTCAGTTCACTACAAACACTAGGGTATTGTCATTAGAAAAGAACTTTTAATTGTGTTTCATTTCTACATTGAAGACTTTCCTTTTTTCATTGTAACCATAAATTCACTATCTATGCTCAACGAAGCTCGATCTGTTTGATTGCCTGTTTGGGGGGGGGGGGTCTTAGCTCCATACAACGTTGCCATACAACGAAATATCATCATTTAAGGGAAAAATTATTGTAGCAGGATTTTACCAACGACAAATTGCTTGAATTGTAAATTGTTCCCGCTCCTGAACAAGATGTTATTTGATAGCAGGAAGGCGTCAAATTACCTTTATATTTTTGAAAAATCGAGAAAGCATATGATTATATTCTTATATTCGAGAATGGCTGGCGTTTCATGACACATAATGGATATTTTGTTTTTTAATGTAAAAACACTTACTTCTTAATTTGTAAATGATTCGTTCATATCTTGTTACAAAAGTACGATAACACTGATGGTATAATGATCAGTCAAACTAGCTGCCAACAGGCGCTGTCATCATATTTGTTCCTTAAGATATGCAGGATGTGACAAATTATAAAAGTAAAATAGCAAAACTAGCTGTTTCGTTAAAAAGAGGGGGAAAATAAACTATAAAATTATAAATCAGGAATATGTTACTTTTGGATGTATATGTCACCGATACCTACACGACACACATAAGCACTTCGAACATTACAGTATGACCGTTTTTTATGACTAATATGCTTCCTGCTAACACGTTTCATGTTTCTACAACCAACGCGGTTAACATGTCAAAATTGATTTGGTATCCGAAGGTTTGCTCTAGTATCACGTTTTCCGTGATGGATGACGACTGCTGAACGTAAAACTTACTACATAGGGTTTCGAATGTTGCTAGTTGATGAAGACTATTGGCACTTTTCATGATCATACTCATGATCTTATTGGGTAACATGCGAGTGTCGTGGCTGATATATGGGACGATTTGATTATTTATGCTCATTAGTGTGCCGTATTTTGCTTTGACGTTTTGGATTGGTCTAAATTAACTGGGCGAATGTCGGCGACGAAGATATTTCTAATTCTTTTTGAACACTTGGTCTCTTCTTCTTTTTTAGGCTTCTATGTTAATCTACCGTTTTGATACTCTTCTATAATGTCTTCGAATTTGAGTTCAAATTACAGTTTATTTTGTGCTGTACACACGCTCTCTTTGTTTTTATAATTAAAGATATTGAAATCAATGAATATTTGCTGAAATCACTTTAGCAAATAACATGAAAATACTGAAGGTTTTAACAACAGCATTATCCGAACTCAAACTCGATCATAATAGGATAAACAATGAACAAAGCAAACGTGTTCCGAAACGGTTATCGTCTTGTCGTCATCGACGAAACAGCCATAAATATCTAGATTAGATCCAAGTAATGTCACATCCTCTCATCAAGAAATCGGGTAAAGGCAACACAATAACACTGCACCCGAGCCAGTATAAAACAAAACATCGACCTTCATATCACAAAGAAAGATAGCATGATGGTGATCATAAGACTTATTCATAGTCTTCATCAGCCTGCGTTTTTGTATACCTTTTGTTGCAAGTGTTTCCGTCAGCAGTCGACGTTTATTAAGGACGTAATGATATTCGGAGCAAGCTCTTGAATACCGAACTAACCGTCACATGTTAACACAGTAAATAGTGGAAGCCAAAGTTCACATTAGAACTAGTACCAGACTGAACGAACGCAGTCGTTCTCTTGATAAATGAGTGTTTTTTCACGGAAATATGTACTACTATAAAAAATATATAGTTGCTATATTTTTCGAGCATATTTTGTGTTAAGTACAACAAATGCCAAAGATGAAAATTAAAAATTGTTCCTGTTTGAAAATATATTTGTTGAGTTCGGACAAGAATTTCTAGCACGCTTTTTGTATTCATATGGGAAAACTGTGCCCCTCCTCTGACCTATTTTGTTTTTGTTTTCATATGAAACTGATTACATTGATGAGTTTATCAGGACTGGTAGCAAAAACGTAGTCAAGTCCTTAAGCTGAACACTGAATTATATCGACGATGTTCTGTCTTTGAATAAAAAGAAGTTCAGCGACCATGCTTCGCAATATCAAATGTCTTGCATAAACGGATGCCCAGGGAGATACGCCGAATGTAAGGAGTAGGAAGGAGAGAAAAGAAAAGGTAAATATCTGAAATGTTACAGTGAGGGCAGCAGATCAAATGCTATGATTCAATGTCCCCTTGGTAGAAGACACGGCAGAAAGACCCCGGTCCGTAACTGTGTTGTAACTGTGCCGTTGTTTTTACTGTTGTGTCTACCGTGTTGATTATATGTATACAGATTGACGGCGATGTATATGTAAAATATAAAACAGTTCGTACCTGTTTTAGAGATTTTATGGTTATTTGCGATTGTAACGTTGCATGAGATAACATGTGGTATATTTGTATGTACGCGAGTTGTTCTTATACATAGTCTCTAGCTGGATTCGAACAGTGTAAATGCTAGTTTAGTATATCGTTTGTGTTTTAAGTGTTTTTTGTGATGTGTGTGTTACAACTATAACTTTACAAGTAAATGTACCGGTTTTAGATGGTGCCGGTGTTGTCGTTGTTCGTGTGGTAGTAGTCGTGGTCACCGTTGTTGTGGTTTGTGCCTTACTGGTGCTTCGATCACCTCCAAAGGAAGATCCTGACCTCGCGTTTTCATTTTTGGAGTTTTTCACTGGATATCCATCTTCAGAATGGGAGTCGCTACTCAATTTACTGAACGAAACAGGTGTCCGTTTATGCTCTATAGTTATTTTAACGTTTTCAAGTTCTATTTCAAACTTATCTTCCACAGCAACGGATTGTCCGGACTCATCCACTTTTGGCGCGGCAGTTTCTATGACTGATATAATATCCTTCGTTGTTGCATCTTTTTCCATGAAGAAAAGAGTAAAGTTGATATGCTCATTCCTAAAATAATATAAAAAGGGATTATTAGAAGTACGATATGCAAAATATGTAACGTCCAACATCAAGAGGGGAGGATAGGACAGTTTTTAACCAGAACACATTCTTTATAGTTTGTTTAGCGGAACTCGTCACTTTTAACGAATAGAACCATTTCGTGCTTGTCATAATCAAGTGTTGTCCTTTAATATTCATGTTTTTCCTAACTAACTTTTGACCTTTCCATTTAAGTTTACACGATGACAACCTTCTGATTTCGAATGGTACTCGTAATGCTGTACTGATGGGAGGTGAAAACGTTAAACATATGTATATATGGTGGATGAATTTCAACAGATACATGTTGTGCAAATATTCATTAATTAACGAAATTTTAGCTTCAAAATATCAGAAACTCAGGAAAACCGTTTATCTGTAATGATCTTTTTCTGATTGGGTCATCGACAAGTGTTAGTTACTCTCAGAAAACTGATATGTTGTTGGTTTGCTTACAGTACAAACATATTGACACGGAATACGCGTCTTAATGAATTACTATTGTTGAGTATTCACTTGTCTTTTGACAAGGTAAAGTGATATTATAATTTGTACTGGGACCTCCTTCCTGAATTCCTGACAAATCATATTTGCTTTCTGACATTGACTAATTTACCTTATTCAGACACTTAATGTGTTACATTTGTAACAAGTAATTCATCAATATTTAAATGAACGACGTCAGTCCCGAATCGGACGGACCAGCAAGAACAACACCTGAAAAAACTCATACGAATGTGATAGTCAAGTTTAAATAAAAGCAAAAAAAATGTCAAACTAATTACCCTGTTACAATTTTAGTTTATGGATTCGAAAACAAATCTTCTTTGGCTTTAATTGATCGCACGGTCAATGCTACTACAGTTTATGTGTTTACCATTCCTGGTTTAATATGCTATTTACAAAAGCAAACGTTTCTCAAACTAATCAGCTGATTTAATTAAGTTTTTATGAGTACTTTGACAATGGTGTTGATAAAATAGCCATCATAATTCACAAAGGTTATAGATTAAATTAAAATATTCAAGATATGCCTCATCCAATCACTGTCGTTCTTACAACGAAACCAGAGGCAGACAAGATTGATCCTAGTTTAGGAAAAGAAGATTGACATACCTATTTGTATTGATCAAGATGTTTGATACACATTTCCATATCAGCACAAAAAGAGCTACTTAAATAGTTACCGTTTTAGACATATATTCAGGTATTAATCCGTCCGAAAACAACAAAGTGATGCGCGTTTTCAAAGTTTTGAAAGAATTATTAAAATAGTTGTTTTTTACTTACTTGATGGAAATGACTTCGCAGCCTCTGTACGTGGATTTAAAATGACTGCGTTGATAATACCTGTCCATCTGGAAAATACATTTTAAATTACCTCAACAGATTATAAGGTTGTATAAAGCAAATGTAGACATAACTAAACGGTTTGAGGGTATGTTGGGGTCATTGCCACCTTGTGATAGCGCGGGTCTGATGGCTACTCTAGTGTTATCTCACTGAAAGCCAATGCCAAAGGCACCCAGCATTACCCTTAATGCTGGACGTTAAGTAGGGAATAAAAACTACCATTTTTGGTATGTCCCGGCCTGGGGACAGAACCGTTTGCCTTCCTCACCAGGGCGGACGCTCAACATTAAAGTCAGAATCGAGTTATTGCCAAGCAAGACGCTAGGAAATAAAAGGAATGTAGAAGTAGAAAGAAAGATAAATATCCCAAATGTTAGAATTGGTCCAGCAGATTCAATTTGGTCGCTTTTGTGTCGCCAAGTTGAAGGCACAAATGCAAATCCCCAATTCTGCAGGGGGTTCCTGCATTAGTCGCCTCTTACGATACATTTTCTTTCGATCCCTGACCTGAAGGGTGACAAAGTGTGTAACTCATCTTTAGTTTACAAAGCGAGATAACCCATCTTTAGTTTTAACACAAAAACTTCAGTAACAGTTTTTAAATAATATTCGTAGTTTCAGATCATTCTTGGCTATTTAAATAGAGCAATAAACTCAGTTTATATTCGTTGAATGGCAAACTGACCTTTTATACTTGTAAATATTATAACTGGCTGTGACCTTGTTTTCAGTTGATCTGATGATACTCAAATTGATGCGCCGTTACATTGTATTAATACAGAACATATCATAGCGAAGAATGCAAATCAACAATATTACTCAATTCAAAAAAAATGTAAAAATGTCTTTGTTGTGGTGCTTACCTGTTGGCAGTAGTCTAAGGCGAGCCCTTTAAAATCAGACTGCATCAGTTCATCTAGTGGTTTACCATATCTCGTTTTCTTTATTTTTACAGCTAAATTGGCCCTTAACATTTCTGAAAAGAAGGGTAAATTCAAAAGCATTGATCATAAAATAATCCGGATATGTAATAAAATAGTATTTTATCGTAATCAAGAGATGACTCATCATCAAACCTGTTTTGTTTCGTAGGAACATTGTATTAATGTGTCGGAAAGCTTCAGCATCAAATGGCTTCTTTCCCAAACAAGATTGAACGAGTGTTTCACATCGTTTACTCGTAACCCTACGTGACAGAATCGTCAATGTTCAAATAGAACGTGTTCCGGACAATTTACCTATCGGTAGAAGGTGCATAAACATTGTCGCATAGGTGACTACTTTGGCGTTGATATAACCCCCTTTCTTCAATATAAACAAATAATGCGTAATGAAGATGACTTGTAAATCCAATCCCATGTTATAGCATTGTCAAACTACATCTTAGTTACATTTCATTTAGTGGCTAATTTAGCTTACATTCAGATGTTTTGTTCCATTGATCAAACTGACTGACGGGGACAGAACCCATTGCCAAAGCGAGGTATTGCCAAGTAAGGCGCTAGGAAATAAAGGTAGTTAGACGTAGAGAGAAATATTTATATCCCAACTATCGTGACTAAGCTGCCTTGGTAATGCTACTTAGTGAGCAGGCCCAAAAAGCACATGTACACCAAACACACCAACATGTGTAAATCAGAGTGGGCAACACTAACGTTAAGTAGTGTCTGGATCGTTGAATTTAATATCATTTAATAAGTATACAACAACACATATTACTTTATCTTTGAAGAGAATGCCAAATATATGCACAACAATATTACATGACGCCCCTCGCTAGACTATCAAGATATTAGATAAGCACGACTTTTCAACTCGCCCATTAAAACAATTCCTCATCGGTGTCTTCACCTGTGGCATTAATGTTATAATTAAAACAGTAGATAATTTAATATATCTCCGCATCGAGGCCACGTAAAGTGACAATGTCGACACGCCTAGAGGTTTGTGAATAATATGACATGTTTATTTCATATCTTACAATTATATATCAGAAATACCGCCTTGCTAGTATTATATATCAGGTGATACCGCTATGTTAGTATTATATATCAGGTGATACCGCTATATTAGTATTATATATCAGGTGATACCGCTATATTAGTATTATATATCAGGTGATACCGTTATATTAGTATTATATATCAGGTGATAACGTTATATTAGTATTATACATCAGGTGATACCGGTATGTTAGTATTATATATCAGGTGATACCGTTATATTAGTATTATATATCAGGTGATACCGCTATGTTAGTATTATATATCAGGTGATACCGTTATATTAGTATTATATATCAGGTGATACCGCTATATTAGTATTATATATCAGGTGATACCGCTATGTTAGTATTATATATCAGGTGATACCGTTATATTAGTATTATATATCAGGTGATACCGCTATATTAGTATTATATATCAGGTGATACCGTTATGTTAGTATTATATATCAGGTGATACCGCTATGTTAGTATTATATATCAGGTGATACCGTTATGTTAGTATTATATATCAGGTGATACCGCTATGTTAGTATTATATATCAGGTGATACCGCTATGTTAGTATTATATATCAGGTGATACCGCTATGTTAGTATTATATATCAGGTGATACCGCTATGTTAGTATTATATATCAGGTGATACCGCTATGTTAGTATTATATATCAGGTGATACCGCTATGTTAGTATTATATATCAGGTGATACCGCTATGTTAGTATTATATATCAGGTGATACCGCTATGTTAGTATTATATATCAGGTGATACCGCTATGTTAGTATTATATATCAGGTGATACCGCTATGTTAGTATTATATATCAGGTGATACCGCTATGTTAGTATTATATATCAGGTGATACCGCTATGTTAGTATTATATATCAGGTGATACCGCTATGTTAGTATTATATATCAGGTGATACCGCTATGTTAGTATTATATATCAGGTGATACCGCTATGTTAGTATTATATATCAGGTGATACCGCTATGTTAGTATTATATATCAGGTGATACCGCTATGTTAGTATTATATATCAGGTGATACCGCTATGTTAGTATTATATATCAGGTGATACCGCTATGTTAGTATTATATATCAGGTGATACCGCTATGTTAGTATTATATATCAGGTGATACCGCTATGTTAGTATTATATATCAGGTGATACCGCTATGTTAGTATTATATATCAGGTGATACCGCTATGTTAGTATTATATATCAGGTGATACCGCTATGTTAGTATTATATATCAGGTGATACCGCTATGTTAGTATTATATATCAGGTGATACCGCTATGTTAGTATTATATATCAGGTGATACCGTTATGTTAGTATTATATATCAGGTGATACCGCTATGTTAGTATTATATATCAGGTGATACCGTTATGTTAGTATTATATATCAGGTGATACCGCTATGTTAGTATTATATATCAGGTGATACCGTTATGTTAGTATTATATATCAGGTGATACCGCTATGTTAGTATTATATATCAGGTGATACCGTTATGTTAGTATTATATATCAGGTGATACCGCTATGTTAGTATTATATATCAGGTGATACCGTTATGTTAGTATTATATATCAGGTGATACCGCTATGTTAGTATTATATATCAGGTGATACCGTTATGTTAGTATTATATATCAGGTGATACCGCTATGTTAGTATTATATATCAGGTGATACCGTTATGTTAGTATTATATATCAGGTGATACCGCTATGTTAGTATTATATATCAGGTGATACCGTTATGTTAGTATTATATATCAGGTGATACCGCTATGTTAGTATTATATATCAGGTGATACCGTTATGTTAGTATTATATATCAGGTGATACCGCTATGTTAGTATTATATATCAGGTGATACCGCTATGTTAGTATTATATATCAGGTGATACCGTTATGTTAGTATTATATATCAGGTGATACCGCTATGTTAGTATTATATATCAGGTGATACCGCTATGTTAGTATTATATATCAGGTGATACCGCTATGTTAGTATTATATATCAGGTGATACCGCTATGTTAGTATTATATATCAGGTGATACCGCTATGTTAGTATTATATATCAGGTGATACCGCTATGTTAGTATTATATATCAGGTGATACCGCTATGTTAGTATTATATATCAGGTGATACCGCTATGTTAGTATTATATATCAGGTGATACCGTTATGTTAGTATTATATATCAGGTGATACCGCTATGTTAGTATTATATATCAGGTGATACCGTTATGTTAGTATTATATATCAGGTGATACCGCTATGTTAGTATTATATATCAGGTGATACCGTTATGTTAGTATTATATATCAGGTGATACCGCTATGTTAGTATTATATATCAGGTGATACCGTTATGTTAGTATTATATATCAGGTGATACCGCTATGTTAGTATTATATATCAGGTGATACCGTTATGTTAGTATTATATATCAGGTGATACCGCTATGTTAGTATTATATATCAGGTGATACCGTTATGTTAGTATTATATATCAGGTGATACCGCTATGTTAGTATTATATATCAGGTGATACCGTTATGTTAGTATTATATATCAGGTGATACCGCTATGTTAGTATTATATATCAGGTGATACCGCTATATTAGTATTATATATCAGGTGATACCGTTATGTTAGTATTATATATCAGGTGATACCGCTATGTTAGTATTATGTATCAAGTGATACCGTTATGTTAGTATTATATATCTGGTGATACCGCTATATTAGTATTATATATCAGGTGATACCGTTATGTTAGTTTTATATATCAGGTGATACCGCTATATTAGTATTATATATCAGGTGATACCGCTATGTTAGTATTATATATCAGGTGATACCGCTATGTTAGTATTATGTATCAAGTGATACCGTTATGTTAGTATTATATATCTGGTGATACCACTATATTAGTATTATACATCAGGTGATACCATGCTATTAGTACAATGTATTTTATTTCAGGTAACACCGCCATGCTGGTATTATAGATCGGGGTAATACTGCTATGTTATATATAATAGGTGATTTAAAGACTAAACATGGCCTATTTGAAAAATATAAAACAAACTATAAATAGTATATAGAAGGACCTGTATAAATCAAAACACATGACGGTGAAATTGTAATAAGAACAAATTTACATTATTACAATGAGTCAATGCATAACAGTCTTTACCAGAACATTCCGTATTCAATCTGAACAGTGACAAGCATACACCTTTGAAAGGACGAGTGTGAGGTGATTAGTCGAGTTATGGAGACAAGAGGGAGTTGTTATCTGATAGGCCTTGTATGCCAAAAAAATGTCGAGTGTTCATATATCATGTATATGTTTTCCCTCAGATCAAAGTATATCGCAAAAGAGTACGCCTACTGCCCATCCAATATAAGCACCATGATGATCAAGGTGATTGTATAGTGTAGCCTTACAAATGAAATTACAAACTTTGGAAACGCCATGTATTTGTTTATCTGACCAAAAGATGTGCTCAATCAGTTTTATCTACCAAAGTATGTACGTATGTGATGATTTTCATCATCGTTGATTAAACTGTTATATGCATACCAGTATGTTAAAGATATTTTAAAAAACAATCAGGTATCAAGATAGTTACTATTAAACCTGGTTAATGCTAGATTGTAACTAATACTATTTTATTGATTGATTTATAGGGTTTAACGTCCTATCAACAGCTAATAAAAATAGGCACAAGTGAGGTGTTGCCAACCCGGGCATTGGGAAATAAAAGTAAGATTCCGAATATTACAAAGAGTTCTGCAGATTGATTTTGGTCGGTTGTGTGTCCCATAGTAGAGGGGAATCCCGTATTCTACGAGGGGGTTCTTTTCTCGGTCACCGGCCTACAGGTTGTTTGTAACTTCTTGAATTAATTATTAAGATTTGTTGATTTATTAATCATTTACATATTGCTCGAAATTGGACATTTTCGATCACTTGTCATATGATGCTGGAATTTATATGGCAGTGCACTTACCTATTTCATCTTCATGTGTTTCTGCAAAAATTAAAACATTGTTAGGATTAAAGAAAATAAACAAACAGTACGGTGGCACTAATACAATACAGGGAATTTTCAATGATCACAAACGGAAAATAAAGAACTGGGATGGTCACAATTTAAGTTTTATCCCAGTTTTGATGCTACACAACCGGTTAACAGTATGTTACCGCACAAGATGCGCCTATATTAGCTACTTTAAGCTAACAACGGTGTCGACGAAGAGGTAAACAGGTAAACAGGTACAACAGAGAACAAGAACGATGGCAAGCTACCCCTACAACAGGAACTGAGAATGATGCCACGCCAACACCACAACAGGGACTGGGAATGATGACACTCATACTACAACAGGAACTGAGAATGATGACACACTAACACTAAAACAGGAACAGAGAATGATGACACACTAACACTACAACAGGAACTGAGAATGATGACACGCCAACACCACAACAGGGACTGGGAATGATGAGACTCATACTACAACAGGAACTGAGAATGATGACACACTAACACTACAACAGGAACTGATAATGATGACACACTAACACTACAACAGGAAATTATAATGATGACACGCTTACACCACAACAGGGACTGAGAATGATAACACGCCAACACCACAACAGGGACTGATAATGATGACACGCTAACACAACAACAGGAACTGAGAATGATGACACGCTAACACTACAACAGGAACTGAGAATGATACCACACTAACACTACAACAGGAACTGAGAATGATGACACACTAACACTACACAACAGGGACTGAGAATGATAACACGCCAACACCACAACAGGGACTGATAATGATGACACGCTAACACAACAACAGGAACTGAGAATGATGACACACTAACACTACACAACAGGGACTGAGAATGATAACACGCCAACACCACAACACGGACTGATAATGATGACACGCTAACACAACAACAGGACCTGAGAATGATGACACGCTAACACTACAACAGGAACTGAGAATGATACCACACTAACACTACAACAGGAACTGAGAATGATGACACACTAACACTGAAACAGGAACTGAAAATGATGACACATTAACACTAAAACAGGAACTGAGAATGATCACACACTCATACAACATCAGGAACTGAGAATGATGACACTGAGAATGATACCACACTAACACTACAAATGACACACTCATACAACATCAGGAACGGAGAATGATGACACACTAACACTAAAACAGGAACTGAGAATGATGACACACTCATACAACATCAGGAACTGAGAATGATGACACACTAACACTAAAACAGGAACTCAGAATGATGACAATTTAACACTAAAATAGGAACTGAGAATGATGACACACTCATACAACATCAGGAACTGAAAATGATGACACACTAACACTACAACAGGGAACGAGAATGAAGACACGCCAACACCACAACAGGGACTGAGAATGATGACACGCCAACACCACAACAGGAACTGAGAATGATGAAACTCATACTACAACAGGAACTGAGAATGATGACATGCTAACACTACAACAAGAGCTGAGAATGATGACACACTAACACTACAACAGGAACTGAGAATGATGACACGCTAATACAACAACGGGACTGAGAATGATGACACGCCAACACCACAACCGAGACTGCGAATGATGACACTTTAACACCACAACAGGAACTGAAAATGTTGATACTTATACTACAACAGGAACTGAGAATGATGACATGCTAACACTACAACAAGAGCTGAGAATGAAGACACACTAACACTACAACAGAAACTGAGAATGATGACACGCTAACACAACAACAAGAGCTGAGAATGATGACACGCGTACACCACAACCGGGACCGAGAATGATGACACGCTAATACTACAACAGGAACTGAGAATGATGACATACTAACACTACAACAGCAACTGAGAATGATGACATACTAAAACTACAACAGGAGAATGATGACACACTCATACAACATCAGGAACTGAAAATGATGACACACTAACACTACAACAGGGACTGAGGATGATGACACACTAACACTACAACAGGAACTGAGAAGGATGACACACTAACACTAAAACAGGAACTCAGAATGATGATACGCTAACACCATGAGAATGATGACACATTAACACTAAAACAGGAACTGAGAATGATGACACACTAACACTACAAAAGGAACTGATAATGATGACACACTAACACTACAACAGGAACTGATAATGATGACACGCCAACACCACAACAGGGCCTGAGAATGATGACACGCCAACACCACAACCGAGACTGCGAATGATGACACTTTAACACCACAACAGGAACTGAAAATGTTGATACTTATACTACAACAGGAACTGAGAATGATGACACGCCAACACCTAAACAGGAACTGTGAATGATGACACGCTAATACTACAACAGGAACTGAGAATGATGGAACTGTGAATGATGACACGCTAACACTACAACAGGAACTTAGAATGATACCACAATAACACTACAACAGGAACTGAGAATGATACCACACTAACACTACAACAGGAACTGAAAATGATGACACGCTAACACTACAACAGGAACTGAGAATGATACCACAATAACCCTACAACAGGAACTGAGAATAATGACACGCTAACACCACCAACAGGAACTGAGAATGATGACACTCATACTACAACAGGAACTGAGAATGATGAGACGCTAACAGAAAGATGAGACGCCAACACCTAAACCGGTGCGGTGAATGATGACACACTAACACTACAACAGGGAACGAGAATGAAGACACGCCAACACCACAACAGGGACTAAGAATGATGACACGCCAACACCACAACAGGAACTGAGAAGGATGAAACTCATACTACAACAGGAACTGAGAATGATGAGACGCTAACAATGAAACAGGAACTGATAATCATATCTCACTAACACCACAACAGGAACTGAGAATGATGAAACTCAAACTACAACAGGAACTGAGAATGATGACATACTAACACTACAACAGGAACTGAGAATGATACCACAATAACACTACAACAGGAACTGAGAATAATGAACACACTAACACTACAACAGGAACTGAGAAGGATGACACACTAACACTAAAACAGGAACTCAGAATGATGACACATTAACACTAAAATAGGAACTGAGAATGATGACACACTCATACAACAACAGGAACTGAGAATGATGACACGCTAATACAACAACACTACAACAGGAACTGAGAATGATGACACGCCAACACCTAAACAGGAACTGTGAATGATGACACGCTAATACTACAACAGGAACTGAGAATGATGGAACTGATAATCATATCTCACTAACACCACAACAGGAACTGAGAAAGATGATACTCATACTACAACAGGAACTGAGAATGATGAGACGCTAACAATGAAACAGGAACTGATAATCATATCTCACTAACACTACAACAGGAACTGAGAATGATAACACGCAAACATTACAACAGGAACTGAGAATGATGACACCCTAACACAACGACATGAACTGAGAATGATAACACGCAAACATGACAACAGAAACTGAGAATGATGACACACTAACACTACAAAATGAACTAAGAATGAGGACACACTCATACAAAAACATGAACTGAGAATGATGACACGTTAACACTAAAACAGGAACTCAGAATGATGATACACTAACACCACAACAGGGACTGAGAATGATGACACGCCAACACCACAACAGGGTCTGCGAATGAAACCACAATACCACTACAACAGGAACTGAGAATGATGACATACTAACACTACAACAGGAACTGAGAATGATGACATACTAAAACTACAACAGGAACTGAGAATGATGAGACGCTAACACTACAACAGAAACTGAGAATGATGACACGCTAACACAACAACCGGGACCGAGAATGATGACACGCTAATACTACAACAGGAACTGAGAATGATGACACGCTAATACAACAACAGGAACTGATAATGATAGCTCACTTACACTACAACAGGAACTGTGAATGATGACACGTTAATACTACAACAGGAACTGAGAATGATGACACACTAACACTAAAAATGATGACACACTAACACTACAACAGAAACTGAGAATCATGACACACTAACACTACAACAGAAACTGAAAACGATGACATGCTAACACTACAACAAGAGCTGATAATGATGACACACTAACACTACAACAGGAACTGAAAATGATGACACACTAACACTACAACAGAAACTGAGAAGGATGACACACTAACACTACAACAGAAACTGAGAATGATGACACACTAACACTACAACAGAAACTGAAAATGATGACATGCTAACACTACAACAAGAGCTGAGAATGATGACACACTAACACTACAACAGGAACTGAAAATGATGACACACTAACACTACAACAGGAACTGAGAATGATGACACACTCATACAACAACTGGAACTGAAAATGATGACACCATAACACTACAACAGGAACTGAGAATGATGACACACTCCACTAACACTACAACAGAAACTGAGAATCATGACACACTAACACTACAACAGGCACTGAGAATGATGACACGCTAACACCACAACAGGGACTGAGAATGATGACACGCCAACACCACAACAGGAACTGAGAAAGATGACACTCATACTACAACAGGAACTGAGAATAATGACACACTCATACAACAACAGGAACTGAGAATGATGACACGCTAACAATGAAACAGGAACCGATAACGATATCTCACTAACATTACAACAAGAACTGAGAATGATAACACGCTAACATTACAACAGAAACTGAGAATGATGACACACTAACACTACAACATGAACTAAGAATGAGGACACACTCATACAACAACATGAACTGAGAATGATGACACGTTAACACTAAAACAGGAACTCAGAATGATGATACGCTAACACCACAACAGGGACTGAGAATGATGACACGCCAACACCACAACAGG